TTTCAGGCAACCTGGGGCAGAAAAGTGAGTTCCCCAGAGCAGTAACAGTAGTACTTAACATTTCAATACTAACTATATGCCACCTACTATGCCAATCACATTTAAACCTTACAGAAACTCAAAGAGGTAGAGGTATCGGTAATCATGTTCAAGTGAGAAACTTGACAAAGTAATCTATCCCAAGCGGAGGAATCATAATTTGAATTCAGGTCCAACTCCAAAATCGAAAAAGGGCTGCAGCACAATAAATAGTACTTGCTGCTATCAATCAAGGATCCCAATGATTCAATAATTCATAGCAACAAACTCACAGACGTGCCGTATTTGTACTAGTCTCTCACTTACTGATCTAAATGCCTCACAGTCAACAGAATTTACGTATGTAAATGCTACGATCTACCAATTTTTCAAGATCACTTTATTAAAAGAAATGACAATTTTTCCTAAACAATGAATGTTTCGTATTGTGCATGGAAGAGTTTTAGCATAGGAGGCATAAGAATACTATTCCTAGACGGGCCTTGCAAAGTCAGCCCTGGTAACTTGAATTTCAGGAGGGTTCCCAGCACTTCCTAACTGACAAGCATGGCTCAGCGTGATTTAAACTGCTTATGCAAAAAATATGGTTTATGCTGAATATTTGCTTCCCTTCCGGGAGTCTGGAATGTTAGTACTTGCCAGGCAGAGGGTACCTATGGGACCACCCCTGATAAAAATCTCGGGCACTAAGTCTTTACTGAGCATCCCCAGTAGCAAACATTTCATATATTTGTGACAACTCGTTGCTGGAGGAATTAAGCACCTCTGTGAACCCACTGGGAGAGGACTCTGGAAAGCTTGTGCTGATTTTCTCTGGACTTAGCCCGTGTACTTTTTCGCTACCAAATTTGCTTTTTATCCTTTTGCTGTACCAAATAATAACCGTTAAGCACAACTATATGCCAAGTTCACCTAGCAAATCACCAAACCTGGAGGTGGTTTTCAGGACCTCCAACACAAATTATTTATCTTTTTATGTGTAATAAACTAAACTATAATCTGCTAGATTATAAACTCCTTGGTGGCAAGAACCTCATTTTAGGAATCTTTGTATCCCTCATAGCCAAGACCTGTTCAAACAGCAGGATTAACACTCCCTTGACCACATCCACTGATTTTCACATAGAAGTTCAAAACATTTGTAGGATTTAAGCAAAGCCCACAGTGATGAAAATGTTCTTAGTAGGTTGCCTTTACTTCAACAGCACCCACTGTAAAACTTAAGATCAATTATTGCACTACTCCCCAAATCTGTTTCAATTAATCCATTATCTGACCTCTAGTACTCTTGATCCCGATATTACCAATCCATTAACTCTATTATCTTTTCAATAAAAACCACTCCTTCAGTTCCACCAGATCTTTTTCCTTAACTTTAGACTCATTTATCATGCTATTTCTTCAGTGTACCCACTTTGATATCTAACAGAAACCTCAACATACCAAAACTTGAAATCTTGGTATCCTTCCCAAATCTGTTTCTCTCATACCTTTCCTCATCTCAGTAAAATAGTAGTTCCATTCTTCTACCAGCTCAGGCATTAAAAAAACCTGTGAGTCATTCTAGACTCCTGCCTTTCTCTTGCTCTAACTAATCTATCAGTACTTCCTCTGGGTTACCTTCAAGAAATATCCTGAATCCAACCATTCTCATCTCTTCCCTCTGCCAGCTTCCTAAAACTAATCACCATGCTTCCATTTTTGCCCAGGCATAGTTTCCTCTCCACACAACTGTAAAAAAGGATCTTTCGAAGGATAAGTCAATCGTGTCACTTTATTGCTTAAAATCTTCCAGTAGCTTCTCAACATACTTCATCCAAACTCTTTATCACAGTCTGTTTTGCTGACTTCACTTCCCCAGGCTCACTCTGCCCCAGCCACATTGGGCTTCTTGACATTTCCTCAGACATGCCAAGCATACTCCATCAGGGCCTTTACAAATACTGTTCCCTTGGCCTGAAATGCTCCACTCCCAAGTTATTTGTATGGCTTCCACCCTCTATTCAAGTATGTCCACTAAAAGATTGTAACAGCCTCTCATTCCACCTATTTCATAAATAGTATTCCACTCTATCCTCCTAACCACCCCATCCCTGCCGTCTATCTCCCATCTCTTACCCTTCATCTGCTTTATTTTTCCTTATCGTCTATCACTACATGAATTATTTATTTATATTGTCTTGCCCCGCTAGAACGTAAGCTCCGTAAGAGCAAGGACTTTCAATTTTTGGCTTTGTTTTTCCACAGCTGTATTCCTCTTCCTAGAATACTGTATACATTAAAGCGCCAAGGAATTTCTTTATAATTGATTTAATACTTCTTTTGATGACCCAATTTAACTTGGTTCTCATGAGATTCTCTCTGGATAATGAAATATAAATCAAACATAAAGCCCCTTACAGAGTGATTTTTTTTGGGAGAATGAACACAATTTAATAAAATTACTTACTCTGCTCTGATTTTACCACCCACCAATCAGATGGACGCCTGGAAATTCTT